CAATATTAAGTCTTCTTATACATAATCATGAGGTGTCTTCCCATTTATTTAGGATTTTAATTTCTTTTTGCAATGTAATACTGTTTATGTAGTATGCTTGTACATCTTTTGTTAAATTTATTCTTATGCATTTTATTCTTTTTGATACTATTGCATGCGCAACTCTTTTCTACATTTTGTTTTACAATGGCTCATTGCTAGTATAGAGAAATAAAATTGATATTTCTAAAATAGAGAAATGCAATCGATGTTACTATATTGAACTTGTATCCTGCAACCTTAATGAACTCATTTATTCTAAATGATTTTCAGTGGATTCCTTAGGATTTTCAATATTCAAGATCCTATCATCCACGAATAAAGATGGTTTTGCGTCTCCTTTGCCAGCTTGGATGCCTTTTATTTCATTTTCTTTTCTAAGTAAACTGACTAGAACTTCTAAGACCATATTGAATAGAGGTGGTAAGAACAGCCATCTTTGTCTTGTTCCTCATCTTATGGGGGTATATTCTTTTTAAAAAATAATTCATTTCTATTTATTTTCTGTTGGTTCAATTCATTGTTTCTATACATGCATACACTGCACAATGATTCACTTAGGGTAGATAGCACAGTTTTGTACCCGTTAGTCCACCACTTCTCCTCTCTCCACCCCCACTCCTCTCCCAGACTCTCTAACCATTATTCTACTCTCCACTTGTATGACAACCACGTTTTTAATAAACACACATACGAGTGAGATTAGGTATTATTTTTCTTTCTGTCACTGACTCACTCCACTTAACAAAATGGTTTCCAGTTCCATCCATGTTGCTGCAAATTACAGGATATCATTTCTTTTTCTAGCTGAAGAGTATTTCCTTGTGTATATACACACCACAGTTTTTTATCCATTCATCTGTTGACGAGCATTTAGGTTGATTCCATCTCTTGACTATTCTGAATAGCATTAAAATGAACATGGTAGTGCAGTTATATTTCTGATATGCTGATTACATTTCCTTTGGATATAACCAGCAGTGGGATAGCTGGGTCGTAAGGTAGATGTATTTTTAGTTCTCTGAGGAACCTCCAATCTGTTTTCCGCCATGGCTGTACCAATTTCCAGAATATACAAGGAACTCAAACAACTTCACAGTTAGAAAACTAATATTCCAATTACAAAATGGTGCAAGGAGATGCATAGACATTTTTCAAAGGAACACACAGAAATGACGAACAGGTGTATGAAAAAATGCTCAACTTCACTAATCATCAGGGAAATGAAAATCAAAAACACATTCAAATATCACTTCATCACAGTTAGACATACTATTATATATACATATGTCGATAGATTAGATAGATAGATAGATAGATAGATAGATAGATAGATAGATAGATAGGAGATATAAACAGAGAATAACAAATGCTGGCAAGGTTGAGTAGAAAGGGGAACACTTCTAAACTGTTGGTGGGATTGTAAATTAGTACAGTCATTATGGAAGTCCGTATGGATGTTTCTCAGATAACTACCGATAAAACCACCATATGATGCAGCAATACCACTACTGGGCATATACCCAAAGAAATGGAACTCGACATGTCAGAGAAACCTGCACTCCCATGATTATCACAGCTCTATTTCTATAGCCAGAATTCTTCCGTTCACAGCAGTATGAATCAGCTTGGAGAAAATTACGTCAAGTGAAACAAACCAGGCAGAGAAACATAAGTACTGCAAATTCCTATCACTAGTCACAAGTGGGGGAGGGGAGAGAGAGAGAGAGAGAGAGAGAGAGAGAGAGAGAGAGAAGGAAGTAAATAAGAAACATGTGAAAAGAAGGAAGAAAGGAGAGAGAAAAGGAGAAGGAAAGGAGGAAGAAAGAAAGAATGTAAGAAGGAAGGAAGAAAGGACAGAAAGTAAAAGAAAGAATGAAAGAAATGAAAAGAAAAGAAAAAAGAGAGAAGAAAGAAATATAATCATCACAGTAACACATTGAACTTTCAGAAGGAGAGAACAGAACTGTGGTTACTAGACTTGGGAAAGGGTGATGGGGGTGGGGTGTTAGTGAGGAATTGGTTAATGGACAAAAGGAATGATTACATTTTGTAATGACACGAATGTTAATTATCCTGATTTGGTCATCACACATTGTATACAGGTATTGATATTCAACTCTGTACCACACAAATATGTATGATGAATTATTAAAAAGGAAAGAAGGTGAATCTTTCTAAATTTATCTTTCCTCCACTTCTATTTGTTAAAGGGTTGTCAGTCACTGAAGGACCCTTCAAATAATGCCTTCTCCTAGAAAAATCCATTTGCAGCTTTAGAAGGCAAAAGAAGTTATTTTTATCATGTGCCCATCCGTAGCAACTTGAAATGTTTCTATAGCCCTGATTCCATTAAAATTTGTGTTAGAGTCTTTTTATACACACTTTTAAAATATGCTATTCTCTGAGCTCTTCAAAGGCAAGATTTCTTATTTTTTTATTTGTACATTAAGATCATACATAGCATAGATCTTGGCATATAATACAATATCCAAATTTTGCTGAATCCGAGTGAATAAGTGCTCTGCCTCAAAATGCTTTGCAGCTTTTGTGTCCCATACAGAATTCTAAAGCATCATTCAATATTCATTTTGGGGTACTTAAATTTTCTATCTATGAATCTTTCTACTGGGCCATTAAAATTATATTTCGTCTTCTAATTAGAGGACCAAGTAATTTGAACAAACCTGGCCTTTCGGTCTTCACTATGCCTGCAGCAACACCATCGGTTACAATCTAGGTTACATTGATTTACTGCATAACAAATGGAGATTCGTCAACTAGTCAAAACTGTGTACTTTTCTCAGTACTCATGCTAGGCCACGATATTTCTTCTAATTGCAATGAATTCACTGAGTTAACTGGAAAATAATACCTTTTCCTCCTAGGAGATTTAATTGATCATATCTACTTTTATTTTGGTTAATGTTAATTCTTATCATGAAAAACTAAAATTTCCAAGGAATGAGTTGCATTAATAAGCATTGGTTTTCACTGATTTGAAAGTTTAGGAAGATGAAACACGGTTTCAGCAATGTTATGAGAGTTCATAGGCATTTAAAGATTTTTGTCAGAGCTATTTAGAAATCTGAAATTGAAAACAGATGAGGTCTGGATCTGATGGTAAACAGCACTTACATTTAACAAGAGAGAGTGGAGGATCCATTTTCCTTTTCTCTTCACATGGTATGGGGTAATTTGGGTATTATTTTTGCACAACCTATATAGACTTTTTCTGATCTCTACATTTTGTTTCTGTGGTAAGGTCTGACTTAATTCAAATCTATGTGATATTTTGTGATGGGTTTTTAAAAATCGTTGTTCTTCCCAGCACCATTTGCTGAAGAGGCAGTGTCTTCTGCAGTGCATAGACTTGGTGCCTTTGTCAAAGTTCAGATGAATATAGGTGTATGGGTTGGTTTCTGGATTCTCTATTCTGTTCCATTGGTCCATGTGCCTATTTTTATGCTAGTACCATGCTGTTTGTTTTACTATAGATTTAACTATAGTTTAAAGTCAGGTACTGTTATGCCTCCAGCTTTATTTCTTTTGCTCAGGATTGCTTTGGCTCTTCTTGGTCTTTTGTGATTCCATACATTGTTTGGTTATGTTTCTTTAGTATCTTCCATCTATTAGGAAGAATTGACAAAGAATTATGACAGAGAATGTATGTATACACAGAGAGAGAGAAGAAAATAGAAAACAGGAAAAGCCCTAAGATCTTTCTAATATTTTTCTAAAGTAAATTATCCCCATTCGAACCTTGAACAACTTCATCAGATAAGACACAGTACTTCTTCAAGATGATATCATATTTTTGTTGTCGTTGAGGTTGTTTTTCCTAATTCAATGTCTTATGAGAAAAATTTTACACTTACATTACTAGGATTGCATTTCTATAATTGGTACATTTTATTAGTTATGCTTGAGTTTTTAAAAATGTTTAAAATTGTAATTTATAAATCACTTAGTTGAAATTGTTAATAACACATACTACATATGTAAAACATTTAAAAAATTACTTAATTTTCTAAAGAATTTCCAGTAAAATATGCTTAGTGAACTAGTAAGTTCTACTGTTTTTCTTTGTACCTGTATGTGTATATGTATTTACATGTTTGTGACAAGAGAACTGGAAGTGATGCAATATTTGAACCACTAGCATCTAATTTGAGGAAAACATGGCTTGTTGCCTCTGCTACCCCCAAATATACTAGATTGCTTTGACAGATTTATCTGATTAGGTGCTGCTGTTCTTTTTCTTTGTACTGTTTCAGTTGTGTTCTTTCTGAATCTAACATCATTTACAGGATTAACATTGCACTGGTTCAAACATGCAATCACTCAATTAAAATAAAATTATCATCAAGGCAGAGTTCTACTTGTTTTACCATTAATCAGAAACACAAATATTATTGCTCTGTATCTTTATTTATTAATCAATTAAGGAAACAAATATCTTTTCTATTCCTTTTGTCTCATGTAATATATGTTACTGTCATGAAACTGGGATTAGCCTCATGATGTTCTTTCTTAAATAAAGGCAACAAATAGAGAAAATTACTATAATAGCAGTATATATGACTATTCCAGAGTCTTTGATCTTGAAGGAAGAGAATTTTCGCCGAGAGACAGCATAGCTAGTAATCCTCAGTTAACATTTGAGACACCAAATAACACTATCACTTTAGAAAGTGAACAAGGAGGACTCAGAAATACATCTTCACATTCTGAGCAGGCAGGTGTGAGAAACTATGTCACAACCATCAGAATTCCTGTACATGGAATTTTAAATCCTGGTTTAAAGGATAGAATATCTGCTGCAACTCAGAGCACATTATGGCAAATAATGACAGGATTTGATGAGTCAAGTAACCTTTCGGGCAGTGATAATGTTTTAGAGCCTACTTGCTCACCCCCAAGTCAGAACATGGAAAGGACAGAGTCACAGAATTGAAAAGATGGTTCCAATGGCAGTAGGAGTTCTGGTCCCAATTCAAATCCTAGCTGCAGACCCCATTCAAGTTCCTCACCAATTTCCAGTTCAAGATCCAGGTATACGTCTAGTTCCAGTTCTAGTCCTATGTCCAGTTCCAGCTCCAGTAGTGAATATTCAGAAATTAGCTTATTGATGTTTGAAAGCAGTGTGCATTAACTCCTTTAAAGCAACCAGGCTAAACTTTCAGGCAACAAACAAAGCAAATGTCTACATAGGTTCGTTGTCCCCTTCTGGTCCCCACTGCCACAAACCATCTCCTGAAAATCCATACTCATAACTCCCTAAAGTATCATTAGTATGATTATATATTTTAGTATAATTTTGAATCCCACTCCCAAGTCTCCCAGAGAGAAAATTATGAGGCAGCAAGGAATAAAATATAATAAAGCAAAGCAAGCACACAGAGCTCCAGAAAATTAGGGTGGAACACTGGCATCTTCTCCCACGATGGGGCCATGCAAGCATCGTCCCACGATGAGACCATGCAAACACCGCGTTATACTAAAAGATCTTTATCAGACTTTTAGTCTTTGGGATACGATGCGCCCCCGCATGTATGTGTATATGTATTTACATGTTTGTGACAAGAGAACTGGAAGTGATGCAATATTTGAGCCACTAGCATCTAATTTGAGGAAAACATGGCTTGTTGCCTCTGCTACCCCGGAATATCCTAGATTGCTTTGACAGATTTATCTGATAAGGTGCTGCTGTTCTTTTTCTTTGTATTGTTTCACTTGTGTTCTTTCTGAAGCTAACATCATTTATAGGATTAACATTGCACTGGTTCAAATATCCAATCACTCAATTAAAATAAAATTATCATCAAGGCAGAGTTCTACTTGTTTTACCATTAATCAGAAACACAAATATTATTGCTCTGTATCTTTATTTATTAATCAATTAAGGAAACAAATATCTTTTCTATTCCTTTTGTCTCATGTAATATATGTTACTGTCATGAAACTGGGATTAGCCTCATGATGTTCTTTCTTAAATAAAGGCAACAAATAGAGAAAATTACTATAATAGCAGTATATATGACTATTCCAGAGTCTTTGATCTTGAAGGAAGAGAATTTTCGCCGAGAGACAGCATAGCTAGTAATCCTCAGTTAACATTTGAGACACCAAATAACACTATCACTTTAGAAAGTGAACAAGGAGGACTCAGAAATACATCTTCACATTCTGAGCAGGCAGGTGTGAGAAACTATGTCACAACCATCAGAATTCCTGTACATGGAATTTTAAATCCTGGTTTAAAGGATAGAATATCTGCTGCAACTCAGAGCACATTATGGCAAATAATGACAGGATTTGATGAGTCAAGTAACCTTTCGGGCAGTGATAATGTTTTAGAGCCTACTTGCTCACCCCCAAGTCAGAACATGGAAAGGACAGAGTCACAGAATTGAAAAGATGGTTCCAATGGCAGTAGGAGTTCTGGTCCCAATTCAAATCCTAGCTGCAGACCCCATTCAAGTTCCTCACCAATTTCCAGTTCAAGATCCAGGTATACGTCTAGTTCCAGTTCTAGTCCTATGTCCAGTTCCAGCTCCAGTAGTGAATATTCAGAAATTAGCTTATTGATGTTTGAAAGCAGTAATGAAGAAAGCTCATTGTCAGACTCACCATCAGAGGCCAGGCAAGAAATGCAACATAGGACCTTTGCTGAAGATGACACTTGGCCCTTCTCTAATCTTGTTCAGTTTTTCATCTTAAATGAAGATGATCATGACCAACCTACAGAACTCAACAAAGCACAGATTGAGAACTTGGCAGTAAGAACTTTTGGTGAAATTGCTTCATTAACAACCTGTTCTGTTTGCATTACAGAACACACAGAAGGGAACAAGCTTCGCACACTACCTTGTTCCCATATATATCAGGCCCACTGCATTGATCGCTGGCTGCCTGAGAACTTTACCTGTCCTATTTGTTGCCGTAAAGTAATAGACTCTAGTTACAGAGAAAATTCTAGCTGAGATGTGAACTCTCACCTATAAAAACTACTATACTGACAGACAGATAACTGTCATTTGCCTTATGTCCACTTTTGAAGTGACACATATATAAAACATCAACCTTAATTGTCAGTTCCTGAAGAATGATTGTACTTTCTCCAATTAGTTTCAGAATAAAAGCAAATATTAAAAAGCCAAAAGAAAACGTGTCCTATCTGACAACAAAGACCAATTCTACACTGTGGTAGGTCACTGAACTTCCACAGAAACTTAGCAGGTATGCTGAGTAAAAAGGGGGACTAGAAAATAACTTTACCCCACAGGAGCCAAGAGGACATGATCTGAGTATGTGTGACTTTCTCGGTCACCGTTTTAAAGGAAATTGCTTGCTCTCCGCTTCCTCATCCCCCCTTCCTATGGGCTTCAATTATGATGTGTTGCTAGTAAGTTGGTTTAGGATTGATCTCAGAAATGGTGAAATAATAAATTGGAAAGAAAGAAACTGTGTGCCTGAGCAACTTTGTCTCTGCGTACTTCCTCCAGACTGTCAATATAAGAGAGAACTAAAACTGCTATCTAGGGAGTAACTGGGCAAGGGACACAAAGAATATTACTATTTTTAAGATGAACATGCTAATAATATTGATTTGATCAGCACATACTGTACATAAATACTCATAGTCAATTCTTTACCCCATTAATATGTGTAATCAAAATAAATAAATCAGAAAAAAGATAATACAAATCTTTTAATGATCTTTTTGAAGTACCCTCGTATGTTTTTCCTCTGGTAGTTGCAATCTTTGTAGATAAACTGATTAACTGAAATATTTACAGTGATTTTATTAATATATGTATCAATCAGTAATAATTTAGGAATTCATTTTCATGATTTGGAGAACTGTACACCTTGATTCATTAATAAACTTTTTTTTTTTTCGAACTGTACACCTTGATTCATTTATAAACTTTTTTTTTCTAATATTAGAGATTATTAATGCAGGGGAGAAAAAATTAAGGGGGGAAGCCTGCATACGGAAAATTGCTTTTTTCTCTACAGCATAGTTGAGAAATACATTTGATTCAGAGCCAAAATGATGATTCAGGGGTAACTAAAAGCACTGATATTTGATAGAGACCGGGCGAAATAGGGAAGCAATTTTAGATAGATTATCTTGAATATGGAACAGACACTTCCAGTTATGATTGCAATTTTTAGTCCTTGATGGTTATTTAAGATCTGAGGAATGCTAGGCAATGTTTCAATAGCTGCATGAACTAAAAATAACATCCTTTGCCTCCAGAAGATGCTCTCAGCACAGATTTCCCCTTCTGTTCCAGGCCAGGGACTTTGTCACACACACGGGCAGTCAAAGTGAAGAGTTTTGGCCTTCAATAGTTCTTTTCAGTAGTTCCCTTCTCTTCAATTTCCAGTTTCAACAGCCTCTTCCTTTTCAAATCAGCTGACTTTGGCCTCACCTTCCTTCCCCAAACCACCAGGTAGTTGCTTTACAACAAGTCCTCAATCCATGTTCTATGAAGAAATGCTAGGTTTTGTCTTTGCACGCAATCCCTCTTCTGGCACACACAATTACATGCTGTTTAAATTCATATTACTACTAATCGTTTCAAAGAATCAGCACTCTTCTGGCAAGAGAAAATCAAAGGATAACATTACTAATAGAGAATCGAGTCATACGGCCTAAGCATTGGCAGATTATTAATGAAACTGACCTTATGGGTTGTTTGTCACGTAAGAAATCATAACTTAGGAGCACAGTCTGCATAAGCAAAAGTGAAATGTTAATAATCTTTACACCTAAAGTTTATACCCACTGCCTGGCTAGCTCGGTTGGTTAGAGCATGGTCCAGAGTTCTATCCCTGTTCCGGTCAGCCCTACAAACACACACACAATATACATAAATGTGTGTGTGTGTGTGTGTGCATGTGTGTGCACGTGTATTTCCCAGCCCATTAATTAAGATTAAAATAAATGAGGTTTAAAATCATTCTGGCAGAAAGCTACTAAAAGTCAGATATTTCCTAGAAATTTGAAACCCCCTGAGTAGGTTTATCCAACCTCCAACATTCAGAGATATATCTGGAAAATGGCAAAAGACTTCAAGTAAATAAATCAAAAGGATATTGCTTTTTAAAAATTTTTCGTATGGGAGCAGGATTTGAAGGATGAAAAGCTCAGAAGGAAGGTAGTAAATGTGAATAACACATAGGAATTATTTTACAGAGCTTTTACTTTTGTAAATTGTGTTTTTCACTGAGTTTTAACATTGGCTGGTTGAGGTCATTACTATATAGTTATGAAAAAAAATCAGCAAATAAGGCATTGAGAGTGTGGAAGAAAAGTTTAGAAAATTAAAAAATGAAAGAACGTTACTCGTGTCAAGTTTTGAAGAATAAGGATAACACTGAATATAAGCTTACACTGTTAACATGCTGGATTATATTGTGGTAATGTGTGGAATCATAATGAATATTTTATAAGACTCATGCTTTTTCCCTAGCATGTTTCAAAAAGGTTACACTTGATTTCCGTAAAACAAAATTATATAGCTTCAAGTAAGAAATTCTGTCATTAGGTTAATTAACATTGTTCCATCAAATCTACTTTCCCTAAATATTATTGCTCTGTAGGAAAAGGTATAAGAACTTGTGTAGCAATTTCTGTATCCATAACAATAGAGGTTAAAGACATCAAAAAATAGTATTGAATACACACGAACATTTCAAAGTATATTAGTATATATTATATTGATTATCAATGTATTAGCAATTAATTTTATATTGGTAATACACACACACACACATGATATGTATATATCACATTTTATTAGTGAACAAAGTAAACTGAGACAAACTCTTGGACCCATGAGACCATGATATTAAAGTCAAGGTCTACTGCAATCATTCAGCATTTAGCACAAAGCCTGACATGCACTAGATCTTCAAGAAATAGTTATTGAATACATGGTGTATTCATGCAATTCTAATTTAGAGTTCTCTTTATTTGAGTATATCCATAGACCTGTTCTTTTGTTTGCATCTAAATAAAAAATTACTACAAGCATTTTCGGGATTATCTTGATCTCTTTATAGCTTAATAAAGCCACACAAATTCAGTGTCCACATTTGCAAGCGTCTTTGTGAATCTTGTTGAGTGTGACTGCTGCTAGATGGCATGTCCTAGTGTAAAAATGACAACTGTCCCCTGTCCACTCTTATAGTCATGTTGAGTTATTTTACCAGATCCAAACACTGAAAGGAAAACTAAAATTTCCTTCTACAGTTGTGATTAGGAAATGAAAAATAACTTAATAAAAGAAAACTTCAGCACTTTCAGTTATTGAGACTCTTAATGGTAATTCATGAAAACAACAAACTGCATCAGAATAAAGTACCACTTTTCACTTTTTACTTTTTAAGTTAATAAAAAAAGAATGTGGATGGCCCATATTTAAAGGATGGCTTTTACTACCTGAATGGAAAGTTACATTATGAATCATTGTATAAACTAAAGTGTGCCAATCGTTTCAGCGAAGAAGGGTGGTCAAGAATTGAGATGTGCCATGTGTTTAGGGATATATAGGCATGGCATGCTCAAAATAAAACTTGCACCACTACAACTAGATCTATTTTCAGTGAGAAGTGATTGTGTTTAAGACAAAAAGCATAATCTGAGGCATAATTGGAACTTCTTAATTTTATTAGTGTTACTGTTTTATTTGTAATATCTGCAAAATTTTTAGTTTTATAGGTATTAAAAACATACAATTAAGCATACAGATTTTATAACTAGCTTTATGTTTGTGCATAATTAAGTATAATTATAATAACAATTTGTCACTACTGTGTTTCATTGATTTTTTTTTTCCAAAAGAAACGCTGTTCAAATACTTATGCATACTCAACATCCAACCCCACTCATGGTTTTAATTTAGAGAAATGATGAGACTAAAATTTGTAATAGGTCCCTAAAGTATTTAATTCATATTTTTGAGCACCTACTATGTAGAATTTATCATTGAACAAATTAAACACAATGTTTGTCCTAAAGGAGCTCATGGTCCTGCCAAACTTTGAAAACTACCTAGGGAAGAATCCAGCTAAGAGTATTACTCTCTGCAATTTACAAGTTATGTGCTTGAAAAATGTGAATTCAATGTAAATTTCCATCAACAGATTAATAGAAGTAAAAAATGTGATATACACATACCATGGAATATTATTCAGCCTTAAAAAAGAAGGGAATCCTGCAATATGTGACAACATAGATGAACCTTGAGCACATTATGCTAAGTGAAATAAGCCAGTCACAGAAAGACAAATAATTCATGGTTCCACTTATGAGGTATCTAAAACAGTCACGTTCATAGAATCAAGAAGTGAAATGGTGGTTGCCAAGGGCTAGTGGGAGGGGGCAATGGAGAGTTACTAATCCACAGAAATAAAGTTTCCATTAAGCATGATAAGTAAGCTGTAGTGATCTGCTGAAGAGAACTGTACCCATAGTCAACGATAATGTGTTGTACACTTAAGAATTGGTTGAGAGCTTAGATCGCATGTTGTGATCTTACGACAATAATAAAGAAAAGGTGTTACATATTTTCTAATTCAAAATTTCTTTACTTGTAAAATATGAGTGATAATAAAAATTAACTCAGAGAGTTTCTGTGTTAATGAGATAATGCAGAGTGAACAGCCCAGAGACAGATAACAATGATTCTGGATTGATACATCACTTCTCACTACTATCATTAAAAGAGGATTTTGTTTATTCATATGCACATATGCATACACTTGTATATCTATGAACACACAAATACACACACACATACATACACATGCACATGGACAAAGAGATAAGCCAACAACTCCCGCTACTTATGCGAGGAGTTCATGGAACAAGTTTTCATGTTAGTGCCTATAAAAACACCATGCATATAACAAATACTCGATAGAAATATATCAAATGAATGAATGAGAGCTAATCACTGACTCTGAG